TTTGATGTTGTTCAAGTCAAATTGTTCTAACTTTTAGTCGAACTTATATTATTAGTGAGGGACTCTCCTTTTAATCATTAATTCTTCTATCCTCCTGTGCATTTATTCCCCCATTTGAAGCACTTTGAACTCCTTAAGCCTACATGTAAAGTTGATGATCATCAAGTCTAGCTCTCAAGTTGTTATGAATGACAAATTCTTAACTGTCCACATCTTGCTGCAAATATAAAGCATTACAATTATCCTTTCAAACTTGTCAAAATGCCAGACTGGAGTATGATCCCCTCCTCCCTGCCCCCTCTGTGCTCCCCCCTCCCCCTCCCCTCCCCTCCCCCTCCCCTCCCCCCAGCATCCCTCACCGGTCGACCGATGAGCAGGCGGCTCCTCTCCTCCTCCTTCTGGCTCTCGTTCTTCAGGTCCGCGAACACCTGAGTGAAGTAGTGCGGGTCCGAGTTAATCTGCAGCATCTTGGCGCTCATCAGGTTGATGATGGACAGGCAGCGGTCCCAGAAAGTCTCCTTGGAGCTCTCCACCAGGAAGGGCTTGAGCGGGTAGGAGATCTCGTTGCCCATGTAAGAGTAAGACAGGTAGAGGCAGGTGAGCAGCACGGCCTGCAGCTCGTGCTCCGTGGCCACCTCGGAGGAGACCACGTCGCGGCAAAGCATGTAGACGAAGACCAGTTAGCGGGTGTGATGAAGCCCTGGTCCTGCCAGCCCTGGAGGAGCAGGGAGCGGTCCACGCTGCGCAGCCACAGCACCGGATCAGTCGGTGACAGGTGTTTGAGCCGGTAACAGCGCCGGCACAGGAACTCCCCGAGGCAGCGCAGCAGCTCACTGGTGGAGGCCTGCACGATAACTCTCTTTGGGGTCCCGGGGCCACGTTGGAGTTGGTGAGAGGGGCCTTTTTCACGGACGACACCGTGTTGTTGGAGTTCTTGGTGAGAGCTGGGGTGCTCTGGTCCTGGGTGAAGGTGGAGAGGTTGGCGCATGACTGCGACTTCTTCAGGTTCTCGTTGTTCAGCTGAGTGACATTATTCTGGTAGTTGGCGTTGGGCTGCACCTTCTTGGAGCCTTTCTTCTTCGCCGACACCGCTACAATCCGTTTCCATGGCAGCACGTTGATGAGCGAGTGGCGCTTCAGGTTCTTGTCTTTGGCGTTCTTGCTGTTCTGGACGGCGGTGTAGTGACCCACCGTGGCGGGTCCATCCTCGAACAGAGCCGCCTTCCTGTAGCTGGGGGACAAAGACAGCACGGTTCCCATGGTGACGGTGAGGGGACGTCCAGGGGCTTCAGCCGCACTGGGTCAGAGGAGCGTCTACCAGAGAGGGTCCTGAGGGGTCTAAGCGCCTCGATGCTTCTGGAGCTGGGGGTCCGGGCTACAGGCTGCAGCTGGGCATCTAAAACCGAGGAGATGGTGTCCTTTGTACGGTCTCTGCTGGATGTCAGAGCTGCGTCTGCTGGAGGCAGAAAAAATCCAAATTAATCAGCGAAGGATCAATTTTACCTTTTCATTATCAAGTACACAACATGTTTTTGATTTTGATATGAAATCCATCATCATCCAGCTTTCATCAGATAACATCACTGTTATCAGTTCTGAACGTGTGCTCATTTGATTGTACCTCAGGCTTATTAGCAGCATTGATCTGACTCGGTAAGTGCTGGAATGGATCAGTCTTTAGCTCCTGCTAATGAATTCAAGCTGCAGATCCTCCAAGCAGCATATACCATCAATCAATGCTAACATTAAGGACATATTAGTGTGATATTGTGCTAAAAATAGATTACATTAATCTGCAGGAGAGTAAAGTGCATAAAGGGAAAAAAAAATCAAATGTGTGATTGTGCATCAGCAATTCAAAGGAACACTGCACCACATTTGATATAAATGGAACCTATATTGTTAATTCATTAATTTTCACATTGAGAGATCCATATTTTATGGGCAATGGCCGACCAATGAACCACGCTCCATCCTCTCTCAGTAAATGGAAGGCAGAAACGTAAACACCTTAATAACAGGTGAAGGTCGAGGCAATGCAGATGGGATTGGGCTCATTAAAAAAAACACATTCAAGGTCATACCGGTTACCGTGAATACAAAAATAGATCAGCAAAGAGATATACGTGATCCTTTCTTTGCACGACATGTTTTCGCCCTCACTGCGGTACATCTCTGCATTTAGAGAGACAGGCGATGGCTCGGCTTGCGCAGGATTCAGGCTGCTGGATCCCTTCATTCCTGCACCCCTCTTTATCAGTCTCATTCATCAGTTGTGGGGAAATTCCAAAGCAGCGGCTTTAATGTGACTTAAGGGGAATAAATTAAAGCATGCAGGGGGGTTTTGGCTGTGAGGAGGAGTTGTGCACATCGGGTGCTCTCCGTGGTGCTGAAACTGAGCGTCTGCGTCGAAATAGAACGATGGGCGTAAACGGCGGTGGCTTAAAACATAGAAAATCATCATCATTACCCTCTGATCTGTTCATATATATTCCATTGTTTAATCTGTATCTTCAATTCCGCATACACTTCGATTTATTTTTTCTTGATTTCCCAATTAGATATAGCTGCGTATTTTCTATTTTCAAGTACGAGGATGCACAAATCTCTTATCATATAGAGTCCTGCATTTCAAGCCCACATATGTTGAAAAGTGAAGCAACTCACCAGATCTCCTGCCCAATGAGAATTCAAAATCTAGATGCAACGGTGATGTCCCTCGTCTAGATCCTTGGTTTCCTCACAAAACGCGATAAAAAAAACCATCAAACCATCGCGTAGAATACCAATGCAACAAAGAAGATAATCCAAGTCCGAGTCAAAAATAAACAGAAGCGAGCTGATGATGAGCACGCCTTGAGTCTGCGGTGCGCAGACGATGGCAGGCAGTTTTGGAATGGATGCTGGGATGAAGATGTGCTCCTTGGTCCTCTCGGCCGTGAGATGCGGATGCTGCGAGAGCTCAGGGCTGATGTTGTGTTGTGTCACTGACTGTGTGAGGGGTGGTTGACGCAAAGGCGGTGGTGGGGCGCCGCTCTGTGCTCTGTGCCGGGAAACTACTCCGCCTATAGCCACACATAGCAGGCATGCATGTAAACTGAACCCAGTGAACTCAATGCACAGTTGTCTTTATAACACCACCAATCAGCAGTCATATAAGCACTACGTATGTGTGTAGTATGTCGGCTTTGCAGGATCTATAGGAAGATAAACCTTTCTATTAAGTTTCCTATTTAAACCATGTGAAGGCAAGAGCACCCTCAACAACGTGCTTTTAGGTTTATTTAGTATTGTAATATTTAATGGCAATATCATAACAAATACTCATTTTTTTCAGTTCTCTGGTGGGCGTGTCTGTGGTACCCCTCTTTGATTTATGGTAGGCAGATTGCATCATTTATTTCCATTTGGACAGATATTGCTGTTTTATTCTGCATTGAGTATCAGCCAGTCATCAATATATAGAGATTACTCTTATGGACTGCAGAAACAAGACATTCCTGCATAAATGATAGGCTATTATTACCAATTTTTTCCACCTTATCTTTCCAATTTTTAATATTTATACATTTTTATTTCTTAATTAGAAATATTCAGACTGGCATGTGGTTTAACATTGTAGTTATTGTAGTAAAACACTGCTTCAGCCGTCTTTGTATTAATGCTTATTTACTTTGTATTTAATATTATATTGTGTTTTTTTTGCTAATATTATGTGTTTGGACAACCTGCTGCTGTAACGCCACAATTCCCCAGTTTGGGATCAATAAAGTAATTCTATTCTATTCTTATTTAAAGCAGTTATACATTTATTTGACCATTATGTCCATCTTGTGCTCATAAAATTTGATTCCTCCTTTTATTTTAACTTACGTTGTGGATATTCTTTAAAATAAAAATCTTATTGTTTCTCGTTATCAAATTAAATGCGGTAGGAAAAGAAGATTCTGATAATGTTTACGTTTTACGACCTCTTTCTGATATGACTACGTCTCCATAGTGCACTGCCACCACCGTGACGTCACATACGCTAAGCAACGTAGCCCCCCCCCCCCCCTCCCGCCCGCACGTAAAGTTTTTCATTCAAGGCAGCATTTTGAATAAGGAAGATGGCGGCTGCAGCAGTGGTTGAGTTTCAGAGAGCCCAGTCTCTCATTAGCACGGACCGCAACGCCTCTATCGATATCCTCCATTCAATAGGTAGGTGTTCCGGGGACGGCGGTGACTCCTCTCGCCGCTGTTATTCGGCCATAACTCTTAAAGTAAGCGGAGAGGTTAGCATGCTAAGCTAGTGGCGAGAAGCCGTTTGTGTGCCGTGCTGACTCACTGTACAACTGATGCTATTAGCCTGTTAGCGCCGCTGCTAACCAACTGCACAGGCCTCAGTTTGTATTATGGAGCAGTTAACCGAAATGTTGCGATTTAGTCGGTACGTTTTTGTCTTTTCCTGTTGCGTCATTAACAGTTTCCAACCTTAACCCGTTGTTTAACCCGTGTCACCTTTAGCTCCGCTGTGGCTAACGTCATTAGCTTGTTGTCAGTCTGATCAACACAGAGGGGGAAGGCAGAGTTCTGACAGAGACTCGAACTCACAACCTTCTGTTGTTATGGGTTTTTTTTAAGGGATGTGTTCGACTGAGCGTTGAGCTCGAGTTCACTTGGGTTGTTATTGTTGTGTTATTGTAGACTGTGGTGCTGTAGTGGGCTGTAAACAGTTTATATATGTCCTGTAGGGATGTCCTCAAACTGCCTTGTCACAGTCCACTAGCTGCCGGGATGTTCTGCAACTCTGTTTACTCAAATGTTAATGTTGCTGCAAGCAAAACAGAGATTCAAACACGTTCACAACGAAAAAGAAAGGAACAGAACTTGTTTTAATAACGTGTCTGCATAGCTATGGAGATAAATACATTAGAGGCATAGGGCCCTTTTAATAAGATAAGATATACTTTATACATCCCAGCAGGGAAATGTAGGCAGCATACATACAAACACACAACACATATATAAACACAACACAACACATATATAAACACAACAAAACACATATATACATACAAACACACAACACAACACATATATACATACAAACACACAACACATATATACATACAAACACACAACACATATATACATACAAACACATATATACATATATATCCCACCCATACAGGAAAACATGAGCCCACAATATAGTTTGATATATGATATATGCAGCTCAGGCTCAAGTTTAAATGTCTTCTGTCCTTACTTAAAGGGGAGTCGTTATAAAGTGCAATTGCAGTAGGTAAAAAAAAGTATTTTTAAATCTTCTAATTCTAAATAGAATAGAATAGAATTACTTTATTGATCCCAAACTGGGAAGTTGTGGCGTTACAGCAGCAGGTTATCCAAACACACAATATGAGTAAAAAACACAATATTAGCAAATCTAAACACAATATAATATTAAATACAAAGTAAATAGCACTAAAATATCAAAACTAAGAATGTGAATATATACAACCAGGATTTAATTTAGCATTACTAGTCTCAAATAGGAGGATTAAATATGGAAGATTAAATGTAAATGCAAAAACAGAGTCGTAAATGGACAGTATTGACATAAGATAAAGTGCATAAGCTGGTTTATTTGTCAAAACATGCAGATACACCAAACTAATTAAAGAAACTGGTCTTTAATTTGTATTTCGCACAAAGATGCTTAATCAAGAGAAGACACAATGACTGATTCTTGCACAAGTTAACAGCATTGAGCATGGTACTGTTTACACATCACTTTGCCGTCATAAAGAAAAGTAATTACACTAAATCAAAGTGAAAACCAAGAAGCAGCAGTAGCTCAGTCTGTAGGGACATGGGTTAGGAACCGGAGGGTCGCTGGTTCAAGTCCCAGTGCGGACCAAATATGGAGTTGGTCTGGTAGCTGGAGAGATGTGAGATCACTTCCAGAGCACTGCCAAGGTGCCCTTGAGCAAGGCACCAAACCCCCTACCCACCACCAGCTCAGGAGCGCCTGCCGGGGGTCGCTCCGTCACTCTGACATTTTTTTGCACAAACAGGATCCATAGGATCCTGTTTGTGCATGTGTGTATACTTCAGCCTATGTGTGTGTTGCATGACTTACAGAGTGTAAAAACAGAATAAAGTAAATCTTAAGGTGGATGGGCAGAGACGATGACTAGTGTGTGCATTGATTTTTTTTTACATTAAGTTAGAGAGACGTTTTATTTGTACAAGAAGTGGATTCAAAAAAGAAGCAATGCGGACATCACAATTCCTTTCCTTTTAGTGGATGCCTTTGTTTTGTGAATAACAACTTTTGATGCATCAATATATTTGGGCATTTCACTCTTTGTCAGACATGTTAAGATATTATTAATAATCACATTGAGCCTTGGAGTTTTGCAAACAGTATTTTTTTCTTTTTTAAGTTCTTAGTTGAACAATAGATTAATCTAACCAGTAGTTGCATCATTAGTTTTGAGAAAGGTGTGCGAACCCAGTTTTGAATTATATTGAGATAATGTGAAGGAAACAGATAATCTGAAATCAAGAATCATTAGATAATAAGTCAGATTGTGGTTTTGGACGCTTATATGTCCAAGCTTGTTTAATTACATTTTGACATTGTCACTCTTATGTTAATCGTTTTGTATTTTTATGTGTTAACTTCTTGTTGGTCTTTCTGAAACAGTGCGGAGAGATGTCCAAGAGAACGATGAGGAGGCTGTCAGGGTTAAGAACAGAGCATCCTGGAGCTGGGGACACTCCTGGCCAAAACGGTCAGGCCGCAGGTAATGATTGTACCTTTTAGCTTGTCCGTGATTAACCTTATGGTTCTAGTCATTTTGCTTTATGACTCTTTTGAAATATTTGTTTTCATGTTTCTATTGTTGCTGTCTCCAGAACTCGGGGTCTGCTGAAATTTGTCCGACCTTTCCTGATTTCCATCAGCAAGGCCAAGGCGGCCCGACTTGTTCGCTCTTTACTGGACTCTTTTTGATATGGAGGCAGCAACAGGGCAGGAGGTCGAGCTGTGTCTTGAGTGCATTGAGTGGGCCAAGACCGAAAAGAGAACCTTTCTCCGACAGGCTCTAGAGGTAAGATAAAATAAATACAAGACTGCTATTAAATTGTATTTTTGTGAACTCATCCAAAAAAACTGGTTTTCTGAAAAGCATTGCAACAAAATCACGTCTGTGTAGGTTCTCAGTCATCCTGGTCAAGGTACATTTTGAAGCTTGATTCAAAGGCAGTTGGACTTGGAAGGCCTTTCGCAAGAGAGGGGCAACATCTTCAAGATTTTAAACCAAGTCCAGTCGTCTTTGGATCAAGCTTCCAATTCAACATAATCATGCTTCACCACTAGAAGCCTGCATTAGGGGACGTTTTTTCTTTCCACCACCGCAACTCTGTCATATGAAAAAAGGTCATGAATACTGCAATATAAACCTGGATATTGTTCTAATATAAAGGCTTGAAATAAAATATAAACCCATCCAATTTGTATCATGAGCACCAAGACAAGGGCTGCAAATGAGGACTTTAAGGACACTGAGTTTGCAAAGGTTATCAAAGGCCTTTGTGACCGCTTACATACGATACAGTTTAAGGCAGTTAAATATGTGTTCCTTTTTTTACCCCTGGTTAGAGCAGACATATATAACTATTTATGATTAATGATAGCAAAATAAAAGTGAAATCCCCAAACAGAAGCTTCAGCTTGTATGGAAGAAGATCATATTTTAACACCTTCTGGCTGATGGAGTGGGAGACGCTGCGATTTCAGGCAGATTGTGGAGGAGCATTAGGTTGTCAGCGATAAGATCCATAACAACACCACTGTGCAGCAGTACTTTGTGATACAACCAATCGAAAACAGGACGCTTGATAACCATGATTAAGCAAATTTGTCAAGTTTGCCAGCGTAGAATGACAGGCGGAGACGCTAATTCATCTTAACGTATCATGCCATGCTATGATGACATCATCCTGCTACTGCAGCCAAAATGGGCTTTGTGGCCAAATAACTCCCAGCAGGTTCAAACTTACAGCCAGGAATATCTGCAGGTTTTGGCTGAACTACAAAATACAGGATCAGCAAGATTTTGTGTTAGGAAAAATAAGAAAACAATAAAATGGCTGGTAGGAAGCTGAGATGCATGCACTTGCAACAGGCTGCGGTTTGCTTCAGGCCTCTCATTATGAACTATGTGAGAGGAGTAAAACAAAGGATAGAGGGCTTTGTTTATATCTCTATGTGTTTATAATCAACTCAGGCTGAGGAACACAGGAGTGCTTATGTACAGAGACGTTTTTATTATTATCTTGAGTTTCCAAATAGGACGATGTTTAGAATAAAAACAAACTCATTCTTATTTGATTAATTTTTTTTAAATGTTTATTTTGGGGTTTTTGAAGCCTTTAATTTCAAGATAGGAAAGTGGATAGAGTCAGAAATCTGAGACAGTGAGTGGGGAATGAGATGCAGGAAAGGAGCCACAGGTCTGATTCAAACGTAGGCCGCTTGCTTGGAGGTTTTGAGCCTCCGTACATGTGGCGCGCACTAACCACCAGGCTACTGGCGCCCCCTCATTTCATTCATTTTGATAGAACATCTAGCACCTACTGTATACTCATAATCTGACTTTATTCTGGAGATTTCACATTTATTCAATCGGAAAAAAGTTTTCATTGATCCAAAATAATGGTGCCAGTACTGTTCATAACTGAGGTATAAAATTTGATGTTGTTTTGATAGCTTGTATAGTTAGTACTAGCTTTGTTACCACAATGACATAAGATTTATGTTTATATATATATATTTTATATTTAATTTTGACATTACCATTCCTCTAAAAATGCAAAACCTTCCTGCCTTTTCATACCTATGCCTTGATACTCCTGTGGTTTGGAGGAGCTGAAACATGCCACCACATTTAATTATGCAAAGATGTGTGTTTGTCAGCCCCTGAAGATATAAATCAAACATTTCCACTCAAACTTTGACAAACACATGTTAGCTAACAGCTGAACAAAGTAATGTAGCTTCAGGATGCTGTGTTTAAAGCAAAACGATTATGACTCAAATGTGTGGTGATGCTTCATCTTTGAGAACAGCTGGTTCATCTACTCTTTCTTGAAATTTCTGTTACAAAATGTCTAGGAAATGTACAAAATGTCAAATGTAGCATGTTCTCCCACAAAGTGTGCGAGTAGCATTTCAAGATGCTTTTTACCCACAAACTGCTTCACAACAACTGACATTTTAAAACACTACGACTTACTTACTTAAAGGTTTTTACTCCATCAGATGTCACATCAAGGACATACAGCAGGTACATACTGTCTGTACCTGAATCCAGTTTAATCCCATTTAAGGACTCTTCTTTTCACATAAATATCTTTGGAGTCCAAAATGTCCCTGAAACTTTGCATGATTAAAACAAAGCACCAAAAGAAGCTGATACAAGACATCTCTCTCTCTCTCTCTCTCTCTCCCTTGCTCTCTTTCTCTCTCAGTATTTTGTTGCAATAATTAAATGCAAGACCAATGATATAATGTGACTTATCCAGTCTTGATTTTTTTACTGAATCTTTTCAGAAAGTCTGGGTATAAATTAAAAAATGATTCATTGTAACACCAGCAAAATGTTTGGTACTTGTACTTTCTAGGCCTTAGAAATATTGGCAATGATACATTTATTAGAAAATGAAAGAATTGGTCAAGCAACTGTGCAAAAAGCCTGAAACAGAGAGCCATGGCTGTTCTTTCTAACACTGAACCGTTCAAAGTAAAGGTGGCTGATGTGTTTTCACTCCTGTAATCCTGACAGTTTAATGTCTTCCTGGTCCATGAAACATGTTTCAGCATTTGTACACAGCAAGATTGGCACAGCACAGCTGCTCTCTGGTTCTCTACTAACACTTTCTTTCTTTCAGGCACGACTGATCTCACTCTATTTTGACACAAACGATCCAGGAGGCGTTGGCACTTGGTGAGTGTTTGGTCGATTGCAGCATCTATCTTCTTCTTCAGTGACTTCACAAAAAAAGAGCAGACATTGCTTTTGGCTCTGACTTGTTCAACAGACATGCAGCCATAAAGAGGGTTTCTAGTCTTCTAAGATGCACTAAAACTTTCAAAATATCAGTTTTATTGTTGCAATCTTATGCCCTGTGGTGTGACAAGTATTGAAGTTTGCATTTTTTAAAAACTCTCTGTATTTATTAAGCAGTCAGACTTGTTTGTCCCTAAAAATGAAGTAATGTAAATCCCCCGTAACTGTTTTCTTGGTGTTGTACAAAGTTCTTGCAAAAGTTACTAAACGCTAATCATTTTCTGCTCCCCGTCAGGCACCAGTTGCTCCAGGAGCTAAAAAAGA